ATAGTAAAAGAAACGTTTTTTAAAGATATCTCGGCACCAACCAAGCCGATTTTGACGCTCTAACCACCATTAGATGCGTCTTGACAAGCTCTACAAAAGTTTCTTAAGTTAAAAAAGTGATTAACTTAGTATAAAAAAAAAAAGTTTTAGATGTGCACACGCCATATTTGGAGACTCACAATTTTTATAAGTAATTTGAGTCATATTTAACTATGATCATTCTTTGGTTGACTGATGGATTATCAAATAAAAGATAAGTCAAGCGAGCCTTTCAAAAAAGTATTGTAAAATAATATTAAAAAAATTTTTATCAATTGTGCAATGATTTTGTAATATTTCAACATTTCTTCCTGTTTATTAATTTGACAATCAAACTTTAACAAAATTTGTCTTGGTTGAATTCTTAATAAATTTGATCTAAAATTAGCTACATATAAATTTGAGGATTGAATTTTAACAAAATTCCACCCTAGTGTAACCCAGAAAATTTGCCCTCTGGCAAATTTTGATGATCGAGTATCGACGTAGCCGCCACAGCAATTTCAGTGACACCGATTATCGATTATTTTGAGTCAGCTGCCAGTAATTACGGTACTGGCAGTTTTGCCAGTTTTGTCAGTTTCGCCATTGTTGACAATCCTGGCCTTACTGTAAGTACCCATGATTTTAACAATAATGGCTATAGCGACTATTTTAGCGGTATAGAGAATTCCGTTAATAATAACGAAAAGGACATTAATATTAATATTGGGTCTTTTGGCAGTATTGTTATTTCTTTAATATGTATTCTTTTATTATAAATAAAGGGTGAATTCGCCTCTTTGAATATTATCGTTTATATGATACAAAGTATTGTTTCCCTAATAATACAAGCACCCTTGGCTTGTCCATTGTTTCCTTTGCACATATAACTTGCTACAACCATTAATTCTGTCCCTTAATAAAACTAAACCTTTGTTGGTTATTCTAATATTACTGTACGATCTAACCGTTATGCTGCCCAAACGTTAAAACCCTTCTCTAGATTAAACTATTCTAATTTGAATATTTGTTATCACTATCAGATAAACTATTTTCCAGTGTTGTATTGTTTTGAAGTCGCATAACAACATGTCAAGGATACAAGATTTTCTTGCGGGTTTGTTTCAGTAGTAGATTATTGTTTCTTCGACCGATCATCACGTGATTTATTGTAGTCTAAGGATTGCTGAAGCCTTAGAACCATTCCCGCTCGTCCAAATCTAAGCGTCTCTTTCAATAGGTGGTCCACTGTTTGTGTAGTTTTGCTGGTTGATTTGACTCCTAGCAAACTATAATTTCCCATGCAACACTAGGCAATTCTTAATAAAAATTCAACTATCGAATTTTAAACTAAGCAAATTCTTAATAAATTCAACTATAAAAAAATTTTGATCAAGAGCCAATTAGTTTGTATAATATGTACACCTGATTAAAATAAAATTAATTAGGCTTTTTTTCTTTATTCTCGTTTTTAGCTTTCATTCATTGTTGTCACTTTTGAAGCTATAATCTTTGGTGCTATAGTTTTAAGTATTCATTTTTGGAATCATTATAGCTTTTGGTGCTATTTATTTTTAGGTAATTAGATGCCAATAGTACCGTTTTTGAAATTATCATCTTTAAAGTCGTCACCTTTGATATGGGTTCCGTTGGGTACTTTTTAAAATTACTTCCAATATAATT